TGAGTAATGTAATAAAATGTAGCACTTGAAGTATAAGGATGAATGGCATGCCTTGGAAGTTACATTGTCCCAAGGGACTCATTCTTAGGACAATGTCCAAACAACCTACCAAATTTTTTAAATGTATATTATACCCCCAAAAGTCATGTCCCTATGGTTGGTCTAGGAAGATATTTATTTATATATTATAACAAATATTTTTTTTAATAGGTAAAAGGGAAGAAAAGAAAGTAAAGCATCTTTTTATTACATTACTCTAGCTAGGGTTCTAAAGAAATTTGTTATTGTATTATTGATGATATAGGGAGTTGAAACTCGAATGGTATTTTCGAATTCTGTAGATTACGATCCCAATCTTAATCGTTTTTTTTTTCGTTTAATTTTCAAAATATTGTTTTTCTATTTCGCATTTCAAAAGTTTCGTTTTCTAACTTTTACCCCAAAAGATTACGATCCCAATCGTAATCTTTTTTTTTTCTTTTAATTTTCAAATATTGTTTTTCTATTTCGCGTTTCAAAAGTTTCGTTTTCTAACTTTTACTCCAAAAGTTTTCCTTTTTAAATTTTTAAAATAATTACTAAAATCCATTTTCCCTTGAAACTACACTTTTGGTGCAATTATATATAATATCTAGGTGAATGAAAAAATTGAATTCCTGAAAAAAATCCAATTTTGGAACAATGGTTTTATTCCAAATTGTGAAAATTCAATGCTTTTAGAACTAAATTAATTTATGACTTTCAATTTTTTTTTAGTACTACTTTAGATCTGATATGTTCAATTTTGGTCGCACCTAGGAGTATTTGTATCTTTTACGGAAGAGATTATATGAAACAAATAAATAAAAAGATACGGAATATTTCACTGGTATAGCTCGTGACATACATAGGACAATTTTGCCACTATAAACCATGATATTTATGGGTTGATATATATAGTGAAATTTTATTCAATCAGCTATTTATAATAATTATAAATAATTCATTACGATTATGGTGATGAATTATTGTAGAAATTTAGAATTTTGTATCGATCTCTTGACAAAATTTGTAGGTGATGAATTATTGCAATTTTGAAGATGTGTAAAATCAAGTTCGAGCTTTTTGATATTGATAATATTATAGTCCTGCGAATTTCGGCACAATCACATTTTCCGAAAGAATCACTGGAAAAATGGCAAATTACGACCAACCTTCTAAAATAAGGCTTAATTACAAAAATTCCTCAAATTTGAATAATTACAACCGACCATGAACTATGTATTGTCTTTCACGTCATCGCGGTGTTAAACTTACCTACTAAATGAAGAGTTTTTTCATAAGAAAATACATAGTAGAAAAAGTCGGTTATAATTACACAAACAAGGAGGATCTTTTTTCGTAATTTGATCCTGAAAAAATGTTTACTTGGCTTGACACGTACGTTTATAAAATGCTCCGGTTATTCCCACTAGCAAATCTCACTATAATGAAAATGATTTTACCTTTTCTTTCCCACTTTCAAACAAAGTTTCATTAGATATTTACAGCACACACACACACACACACACACACACACACACACACACTATAGTCTATAGTTATACTATTAATTATAGTAGTCAACGGCCAGAGTCAACTTTACCTGAATCTATGAATAAATAGTAGTTTACACAATAAATGCAGAATCACACACTACTAATAATTAGCTGCATTACAAACTCCTCTCTCTCTCTCTCTATTTTAATTAATCGATTAATTAATTCTTCATTTTTTTTTTTTTTTTTTTTTTAATTTCCTTTTAATTTTAACAAAGAGTTGGTTGCATTATATACATTATATATATATATATATATATATATATATATATATATATATATATATATATATATATATAAGTATTTTTGGTGATCCATTTGAATCAGTTAAGGCACACACCCTCCCCTCTGAGGCAGCAATAAATGCAGATTTGCTCTCTCCCACCTAGCTATTCAATTTCACTGAATTTTGTGTCTCTGATGAAAAAATGGTGAGCTTTTAGTCGAGATTAGTGAGCTGAGGAACTGTTGATTATGGGGTGTGTTCTCGGAAAACGAGCCTCGGCACGGCGGAAGCCGAAAAATGATGAGCGGCGGCGGCGGCGGGATTCGGAATCCTCCGCCGCCGTGACGGTACAGAGCGACGCCGTGGAAGGAGACAAGGAGGTGAAGATCGACGTTCCCGAGGCGTCTGGCGGACGCCGGAGTGTTCAGGCGGATTCGTCGGAGTTTCGCCTGGTAACAGGCGCGGCGACGGCGGATAGGTGGCCGCCGTGGCTGGTTGAAGTCGCCGGCGACGAGATCAAGGACTGGAAACCCCGGCGGTCGAATACCTTCGAGAAAATTGACAAGGTAAAAATTCAATTCCTCCCCCGTCAACTCACGATTGTACAATTTTTTTATTTTCGGCACTAATTTCAGGGTAGGTAAAGGTACCTTTCTTCAGCACAAAAGTACAACACATGGAAGCGTGAATTTCATAACCTATTCAATAATCAATCTTATCAATCTCATCAAACATTCCCAAAACGAGGCCTGATTGATTGATTAATCGTTGTGTTGGTTGTGTGTGCAGATTGGGCAAGGGACGTACAGCCATGTGTATAAAGCGCGTGACTTAATCACAGGGAATATAGTGGCACTGAAGAAAGTTAGGATTGATAACTTCGAACCGGAGTGTGTAAAATTCATGGCAAGAGAAATACTCATACTGAAACGCCTCAATCACCCGAATGTAATTAAGCTCGAAGGTTTAGTTATTTCGAGAATGTCGAATAGTCTTTACCTTGTTTTCGAGTACATGGAGCACGATCTCGCTGGCCTTTCTGCTCTCCGAAGTGTCAACTTAACCGAGCCGCAGGTAATTACGTTTTTATCTATATCTATATGTTGGCTTTAATCTCTATTTTTTCGGGTTATATACTGAGAAAGGAGATTGTGAATTCACATTTCACGACTCTTATTGACGATATTCGATCTTCTGCTTCTTGTGTAACGGAGGTTGAGTTTACGTTTTTTGGTAATGTTTTTCTCTGAATTAGAAAGATGTCAAGTTATGTACAATTTTTTAATGTATTTATTCGCAAAATTTAGTTACTACACTGAATTTGCGCAGAATTTATTGCTTTTGGTTGTTAACAATGTTCACTAGATTTAATAAAACGAAATCGAATCCTTTGCCATTTTTAGATGCATGTGGCTGTTGATGAATTTTCCTTTTCGAAAGGTTTGAATTGTTAAGCCAAATAATTGCCTAATGTTTCGTTGTTCAGGTCAAATGCTATATGAAACAATTACTCTCTGGTTTGGAGCACTGCCACAGCAATGGTGTCCTACATCGCGATATTAAGTGCTCAAATTTGCTAGTTGACAATAAAGGAATCTTAAAAATAGCCGATTTTGGGCTAGCCTCGTTTTTCGATAATGAAAAAAAGAAACCAATGACAAGCCGTGTGGTCACCCTCTGGTATCGTCCACCCGAACTCTTGCTGGGGTCCACTTACTACGGAGTTGCTGTTGATTTATGGAGTGCTGGCTGTATTCTTGCAGAGTTGCTCTCTGGGAAGCCAATATTACGCGGACGAACAGAGGTAGCGTTATCATTATTATTTTTTTCTTTTTTGAATGTATTTTTCAAATACTTGAGTTTATGATTTAGCTTGAATTCCTGTGTAGGTTGAGCAATTGCACAAGATATTTAAATTGTGCGGTTCTCCGAGTGAGGAATACTGGAAGAAATCCAAGTTGCCAAATGCGACACTTTATAAACCTCAGCAGCCTTACAAACGTTGCATAACAGAGACGTATAAGAACTTTCCTCCATCTTCTCTTAGTTTGGTGGAAACTCTTCTGGCAATTGATCCTGATTCACGAGGCACCGCCACATCAGCGTTGAATACTGACGTAAGTAAATCTTTTGGTGCTAAATTTTCACATATTATATTGATGAATCACAATGAGAGAAATAACATTAGATAATTATTGAAATCCTGCAAATTATTGTTAGATGTGTCGACTTCGATGCCTAATGCTTAACATTAAGTAGTTTCTTGAACCACCAGTTTTTCACGACCGAGCCATCTGCTTGTGAGCCATCCAGTTTACCAAAATTTCCGCCAAGCAAGGAATTGGATATTAAATTACGAGATGAAGAAGCAAGAAGGTTACACTTCCTGCGTCTAAATAGTAACTATTCTACCATTACATAATTAATAATGTCCTAACATTTTTATTTTGAATGAAGGCAACGAGGTGGAAAAAATCACAGCACAGATGGCAATAGAAGAGCGAGAGTACGTGATAAGGTCGTCCGTGCATTTCCAGCTCCTGAAGCAAACGCAGAACTCCAAATAAACTTAAACGTACGTGAACAATTTCTTTATTTCATTTTACCATTACTTCCCTAAAACCACTCCATATATCTAGTTTCTGAATTCCGAAAATAATGGGAAAAACGGGAATCGATGGATTTTGTCTTTACTCTAATTAAATAAAAAAAAAAAATCATCAATCCTGTATTGTATTTTCTTACCACAAGTAGAGAGTGTTTTTCATCTCATTAACATTTTATAATATAATGAAACGATCCGATTTTCTTCATTTTCAAAGAAAGTGATTTTCATCTAATATATTTCACATATCTTGTGCAGAGGCTAAGAATGATGCCAGGTGGTGCTAAAGACAAAACCAAGAGTGAAAAATTCCCACCGCCACATCAAGACGGAGCAGTTGGCCACCTTCCGGAAGAATCTCTAAACGGGCCTTTCTCGTTTGGTGCTATCGATACTTCATTTAAATCATCATCGATTTTCGATCGAAAGTCATCAAGGTCTCTGAGAAACGGTACTAATTCAAGGGGGAAAAATAATAAAGAAGAGCCTAGTAGGGCTCCTTCTCGGAGATTAATCAACTCCTTTTACCCGACATCAATTAATTGGTCGAGGGATTTCAGGTTCAGCCGCAAATAAGCCGTTTTTTAGATGATTTTTGGAAAATTTTGAAAACTATTAGGTGTAGTTATCAACTGTGTCATTCTATGTGCTCTAGTTTCATTGTGGATATTGTCATCAGATATTTGGTTTTGTGTATATGAAACAAGTTAATTCTGGAAAATGCTGTGGTGTGGATTAAAGTTAATTGGACTACTCCAAAACATAAAAAAAAAAAAAGAAATATTATCGGACAACCCAATTTTCTTGATTATCTTTTTCTTGACATGCACTGTTCGTTTCTCTTGAAGACAAATAAATCTCGACAACTAAGTACCTCTTGCATAAGTCCAGGAACTCTCTTCATCGTTTGATATGAACCCGTGGTCTTTTAAAACTACGGGGAAGAAGAAGAAGAAGAAGAAGAAGAAGAAGAAGAAGAGAAGCTAGTTTAAGAAATTTTGAAGAAAATAAGGATTTGTGTTATTCGGAAATAGAATAATAAAGGGTGAATTCCACTTTACCCCTCGTACTCTGCCCGAAAATCATTTTACTCTCTCGTACTCTCAATTGCATCGATTTACTACCCTATACTTGTACAATTTCCCAATACAGCCCTCTCTGTCAACTTTTTTCGATTTTAACTTCATCTAATGTTGCTTGAGCCCATATTTTTTGCCTGTGGTGAACCATTTCCTATCATATACATTTATTATGGAAGAAAACAATAAAAAATTATGAAGAAAGTTGCTGTTGTTTTCTAGGGTTAATTCAATTTGGGGATATCTTGGAAGGGGAAGTGGTGGGAGAAGAAGAAACGACAATATTGACGGAGAAGAAACGACGTGTTATAGGCAGTGGCAATTTTGTAATTTATAGAGTTGACCAAACGGCGTCAGAGTCAAAATCGAAAAAAGTTGACGGAGATGATTGTATTGGAAAATTGTACAAGTATATGAGGGTAAATCGATGCAATTGAAAGTACAAGGGGGTAAAGTAATTCTCGGACAAAGTACGAGGTAGTAAAGTAAAATTTATCCAATAATTAATTAAAAGTTGGATTATAAGGTGTTTGGTTACACATAAAGTTATAATGGAAAATTAAAAGGAAATACAAAATCAGTTAACGAAGAGCAATCTAGACATTTTGGATTGATATGGAGCTAACTGTAAATGAAAATTAAAAATAAAAGTGCATTATTCAGAGTAAACTAGTCTGATATGGAGATAACTGTAAATGAACTTAAAAATAAGAGTGCATTATTCAGAGTAAACTAGTCTAGACTCTAGATTGTCTCGTATATGAAACTAGCCAAAAAAAATTATAAACTATAAAACCTCTTAATTTTTTTACTTTGGCTCGATATCACTTTACCCTCTTCTATTCTCGATTGCATCGATTTGCCCTCGTACTTGAAAAGTTGTTTCAATTTGACCCTCGTTTTTAGTTGTCAGACATCTGACCTCAACACCGTTTGATCTAGGCTCTGAAATTACAAAAACGGCACCTCTACCATTTTAAATAATTATTAAAACAATTAAAGAAAAAAAAATTAAAATAATAATAAAATCAAGACGAGGAGAAAACATAGTCCACGAAGCCAGACACAAATTATTTTTTTATTTTTTAAAATTTCTTTTAATAATTATTTAAACTGGGAGAAATGGTTTTTTTGTAATTTTCAGAGTTAGATCAAACAGTGTTAAAACAAAGGTCTGAAAACTAACGGCGATGGTCACATTGAGACAATTTTTCAAGTACAGACCGCAAATCTATACAATTGAGAGTAAAATGGATAAAATGATATCGAACCAAAGTACGAGGGTGAAAAATACCTTTTTTTTTTTTATATCCCATATTTCCTAAGTGCGGAGCAAAGTGGACGGAATTTCTGCGGCCCATTTAAAACATGTAGAGCCCAAAAACTGCTGATGGACGAATTTAGTTCAAAATAAATAATTAAAAAAAAAAAAAAAACGGCTGCTAATTTCGTTTTTGCCCTGACTGAATTTTTTGTTGAATATTCTCTTCTCGCCATGGCTCTGTTAATGGAACCTGGTTCGGAACCCCAAACAGATGAAGAAATATTTGACCTACAGGCTATCTCTGCTCTCAAAGAATCTTCTGCTCTTGAATTCAAGGTCTTCCCTTTAATTTCATATTTCTTCTTCTTATTCTTTTAATTTTAATTTTTCGTTGTTTTGCTGGTTTTTAGTATGTTAATTGTAGTTATACATAATATCCCTTTCGTTTTTTCTTTCTATTTATTTATTGGCTATATAAGCAGCTTTCTTGCTCCAAGTATTGCATATTAATGGACATTTTAACTTTATTTCACTGGTTTAGCAAAATATTTTGTAGGGTTTAATCTATACCCTAGGAATATATATATATATATATATATATATATATATATATATATATATAAGTGGTGGAGAGTGTTGAATCATAGTGAGGTCAAATTACGAAAACCTCCTCCTGTGTGGGTAATTACAACCACCCACCCTCTCAACTATGAAGTTTCTTATATGTCCACACTTACGGTGTTAAAATCAACATAATCTTTTATATTCCGTGGAATGTTCTCTACTTTGTACACTTTGTACTCTTTTTGTGCGAAAATGCAGTTTCAGATGCACCACAATCTAATATTTACAAGCCAAGAGATATATCTTTTGATCATCTTGTTTCAAAATGTGGAGCTCGAATGGGACAAAACGAGTACTAACTGGAGAATATTCTACATAATATAGAAGATTCCACTAAATTTGACACTGTAAAGGTGGACGTATAAAAAGATTCATAGTTGATGGGTGGTTGTAATTACTCAAACAAGAGAGGTTTTTTTTGTAATTTGACCTTACCTCAGGGGCTGGCCGTAATTTACCCTATTTATATTTCCAATAGGGAGAGTTTTCACCTGCTAGCCTTATTTAGAATGGTCTTTCATTTTCTTGATTTTAACTACAGCAGAAACCTTCTTCGCCACTGACTGAATTTTTTTTTTAATCTCGTGTCGGATTGTTGAACCTTGAATATAAATAATATCATCGCTTAATTTTACGGTAATATAAAAATCAGACACATTCTGAAAATGATATCATACAACTATGATAATAGCCTTATTTTGGTTGATCGTTTCTTTGTTTTTCTTTTTTTAGGAAAAGGGAAACGAGTACGTAAAAAAGGGGAAGAAACACTATTCAGAAGCTATCGATTGCTACACTAAGGCAATTAATCAAAATGCCTTAAGTGATTCAGAACATTCTATCCTCTATTCGAATCGGGCTCATGTCAATCTTCTTTTGGGAAATCACCGACGAGCTTTACAAGATGCCGAAAAGGCCATCGAACTTTGTCAAACAAATGTTAAGGTTGTGTTTTCTTTTTCATTTTCTTCATTAAAAAATATATCTTTTTTCGTTTTTTACTCGGTTACCAACATCCTTATTTCGGTTTAGGCTCATTACAGAGCAGTCAAAGCATCAATGTCTCTCAATCTGTTGGACGAAGCAAAATCGTATTGCGAAAAAGCCCTTTGTCAGTTTCCAGATAACGAAGAACTCAAGAATCTTGCCGAGAAAATAGATTCTAAAAAATCGGAAATTGAACGGCGTGAACTTGAAGTTTCCCAAGCTGTAGCGGCAGCTAAGGTTTGTATTCCTTATCTTTTTTGTTAAACACACACATACACACACACACACACACACACACACACACACACATATATATATACATGCATATATATTTGACGTCGAAATTCTTACAGGGTCTTTTCTCTGCCTTGGAGGATAGACGAATAAAACTCGGGAAAGCGATGTATCAAGAACTCACGGGCGTTAAAAAACCAACGCTGGACAAAAGCAAGATTCTTCATTGGCCGGTTATTATTCTCTATGCGGAGGTTATGTCGAGTGACATCATCGAGGATTTCTGCGAGACTGATATGTTCTCGAGTCATCTCGACATTATATCCTTTGCAACAATTTTTCGTATTTTTTTTAATTAGTATTTAATTTGATGATCGTTACGGTTGGTGGGGTGAATCTTGTTTGTGCAATATATTTTTTTCTTTTCTAAATGATCCTTAGCTTCTAACATGTTCTCGGAGAGTAGTCCTCCGTTGCCTTGGGATACGGAAAATGCTTACACTCGTGATGCTATTGAATTGTACTATGAGGTAAGGAAATGCGTACAGCGTATGTATACGTTATCTTCTTTATTATTCATACAAAATAAAAATGCGGAAGTCGTGGATAATGAGTAGTCGTTTATGCAATTGTTGTCAAGCCTTCCCATTGCTTTTGGAACAATATTTTCATTCCGAAAGTTCTGATTTTTCCAATTTTTTTTTGTAACAGAATTGGAATTATATTATTAGATTCCAAATTCCGTCAATTCTGATCCGAAAATATCCGATTTTGGAACAAGTTTTTTCCGTGCCAATTTCCGAAATTTCGATTTCCGATTTTTTGGTACGGGATTGGAATTAGTTTTTCACTTCCCCAAAAAATAGAATTTCTCCGGATGTCCTGATTCCGATTTCTGCCCCTAGTTACGGAGGGATATATGATAATTCGAAACTATTAAAAAAAGGGTTTCTTGTTCACGAGTCACGACATTAGTGTGTTTCTTCCTTTTACAATTATAGTAGATATACTTCAACTCTTTCTGGTGTGCAAAAGGATATATATATATATATATATATATATATATATATATATATATATATATATATATATTTGTTATATATATTTGTATTCGACGTTCTTAGCATCAAATTGTTTTTGTTTATCCGCCTCCATCGTAGACTTTGTACTCGATTACTTTTCGTGTCTGTTATTTCTTAACGGCATCAAAAGCTTATTATTCAGCATAATAAGTTTTTTTTTTCCAAATTATTTTTCATTATTCATCTAGACAATCTTTGGTTGAACAGGCTAACTCTGGAGTTTGTCTGTCGAAGAAAGAAGTTGTCAGTTATTTCTTACAAGGGACAGTTGCTTCGAAATACGAGGATGAAGAGGCTGATGCTACTCCTCGTACTTCTCTTTCAAGTGGTATGTTTTTCACATTCTTGCGATCCTATGAATTGATGACACCTGGAATATTTAACCTAACAAAGAATTATCAACTTTTTATTTGCTGTCGTAAATACAATTGTCGTATAACGAACTTAATTACCTTATGCTGTTAGATTTTATTATATGTTGAGTTGTCAAATCACGCACTTCCGTGCGATAAAATTGCAAGAAAATGTTAATCTCTTCGTTTATCATTATTTTTTTTTCTTCAGGAAATGGCCCGAAATGGGTCAGAGTAAACGAGAGGAAAACGCTTCACGACATTCTGAAAAATCCCGATATTGTCGTACCTGGAATTCCTGGTTCGTCCTTTTGTAACTACAACATTTTGTGTTACTTTAAACTATGCAAATTCAAGAGAATACCGACTTTTCATTGCTTTAATTTTCCACAACGCTTTGTGTTCATTGCAGCGTTCTTCGTTGTTTCGAAAAAATCGAGCTTCTACAAAGAATTTAAGTCGGGAAATTGGTCTACGCCAAAGATTGCATGATCTTTGAACAAATAGAGAATCACATTATTCGGTTAATCAACATCAGCCACACCCGAATTTCTTGCGAGATTAGAAGCAATTCGAGCATCTTTCGTAGTTGGAATCATTGTTGAAGCAAATGAGGCATCTTTCGAATTTCGCGGTTAGGGCAAAGTGGATTAGATATTATATTTGTTGGAATGAATTTTGTACCAAGTTAATTGATCATTAAATCAATCTTTACTTATGGATTTTATAATACCGCGGGATGGAAGAATGAAAAGACAATGGAGATCTATTTATACTAGATTAATTTTCGGGATGGTCGATTTCGCATTTCTTTATAGTGTACAGGGGTATTAATTGTCAACAAACACATATCATCAAAATCCAAAGAGACGTAAATAGTACGCATATATAGCTCGTATTAGTGGAATGAATTATAAGACGTACCATTTCCATTGTTACATTTGATTATAGGCGACATCCAATTAGGAACCTCGTTTGAATTGAATGGTAAATCGTTCATTATTATGCTTATCATAACGAGGAGTTTATGTGAAGTTGCTTTTGTCAGAAAACGAAACAGATGGAATTGCAAAGTAGAGTTCCGCAAGTAGCAGATCGAAACATTCTCCAAAAAAAGACAAGTAGATCATTATTTTTTTCCGGCCGAGAGCATTCAGTTGTTGTCAACTCAGGATCAACAGAACTTTTATTCTAACAAACGGGGGTGAAGAAGTAAGACACCATACACGGGTGTTTAAAGAATATAATTTTCTCAGACAGGAATATACGGAGAGTTGTGTTCTTGGTAAATCTAAGCAGTTGCAGCCAACGGAACCGATCTGTAACAGGTTCTCTTTGCTGCACGGACAATGTCTTCAACCTGAACACAAATCCCCGATCAGATAGTCGATTTGAAAACATTTCAAATTATAAGAATATCGAAATAACATATATATATATATATATATATATATATATATATATATATATATATATATATATATATATATATATATATATATATATATATATATATATATATATATATATATATATATATATATATATATATATATATATATATATATATATATATATATATATATATATATATATATATATATATATATATATATATATATATATATATATATATATATATATATATATATATATATATACATATATATATATATATATAAATGTATATATATATATATACATATATATATATAGATATATACATAGAGATATATAAATATAAATATATATATATAAATATATGTGAAAAAATATATATATATAGATATACATATATATAGAT